AATCAAGAAAGAAAGCTCAGCCAAGGAAAATAAGAATCAAAGCTTGCCTCATGAAAACTCCAAACAGGTGTCGTCTCATTAAAACTCTGCCCCTTAGAGCACCCAATGTCAACGGGCACATTTGGGATCGAACAAGATTCGGCAATTTCAAGATTCCTCGTCCGCTCTTCGTCAACACGCACCAAACGGGACCCTGTGGCGCCCTTACAGTACAGCAGCCTGATGTCAGAGGTGACGTCAAAGCCGCGGCCCAGAGCTTGGACAGAGTTGCAGAGAGTGGCGATTAAGGCATCCTCTGAAACCGCCATTGAAATTACCGGAAAAAACAAAAAACAAAAAATTCAAGGGCGCTTGTTCATAGCTCTGTAATATATTGGAGAAAAAAAGGAGAAAAGAAAAGATGGAATATTTGGGGTTTCCTGATGGGTTTCTTCTTGATGGCGGTGTTGAGGAGTCAAAGGTTGGACTTTTTTTTTTTCGACTTCAACAAAAAATGACAATTGTTTGTGTAATTGGTTTTTGTTTGTTTGTTTGGTTGGTTCGTTTTTTCAAAATTGAAAATGTGGGGAGAAGTTTGACTGTAATAATGGCATGAAAACGCGTTGTGTGCTAATGTATGTATGGATAATCTTAATTTAAAAATTGACCAATCTTTGTGCTGCAAGGTTTTGATTAGATATTTTGAGTTTGTTTGATTTTTTTATTAATCAAAGTTAATTTTAAAAAATTTGATGGCGTGGATCTGAGTGAATTTCATTTTGCATTAAAATAATATTAAAAATTATTAAAATTGATTAAATATAAAAGTATGAGATGGATGATTGAAGTGATGTGTTATTAAAATTATGGGAATGGATAAATAGTGAATTAAAGTTCTGTGACAATAATTAATTAATATTATTTAATTATATTAAAAAAATTGAAATTGTGTTAATTTTACTTTTTTTTAGATATTTTCCAAGAAGGATACGATAAATTCAATTCAATTCGTTCCAAGAAGATCAATTAAGTCAAGAGAGCTGCTAGCTTCGGTCTCACGTAGTAGGCTCCTCTTCCTTAGCCTTCAGGGCGGCTTCATGAGATCTCTTTGCCTCTGAAAGCTTATTTTCCTTTAAGTGCTCCCCACTGCGCGGTTATAAGATCTACCTATCATTTAAGTTGAGCTTTTTTTATCGCTGAGTTAACAAAATTTGTGGCTCATCCTCTTCCTTCCCCTTTTCCTTTCACGCCAATCATACTCTATAACGTTTTTGCATTTTATGTGCATTTGGTAAGCATTGTTGAGTTGTAAGTTAATTTATAATTTGTTGATTAATTTTTAAGTTTTTGTATTTAAATAACTTCGGCGAGCTTTAAAAAATTGGAATTTATCTCATAAGCTTATTTCAGTAGTGTTTGTAAATAAATTCATTGAAATTATTATTGCTGCATGTAATTAATTTTACCACACACTTTTACTATATTAATTAGTTTATCACTTATCAGTCACAAACTATCAGCTATAAAATTTAGATTCACTTATAAACATTCAACTAGTTTATCAGCTAGATTTATCAAGTATAATCTTAATTCTTAGTTTGAAGGTGAAACTCAATTAGAATCTGGGGAATAAAATAAAATTTAATTGTTAGAACATATTATATTTATTTCAATTTGCTAATAGTTAAATCTATTATTCGCTGTCCATCCATAAATGTCAAATATGCCTTATAAATTTTACTATTTTCAAACAAA